CCTGGCCCCTTATTTTTTATTTTGAGACAGGATCTTGTTACATCATCAAGTTGCTTAGACTGGATTTGAAATTGTGAGCCTCCTGCCTCAGCTTCTCAGAGTGCTGGGGGACACTAGTATTTGATAACTAAGTACAGTGATTTTATCTGTGTGGACTTTGTGAGAAGTTGTACTGAATCTTTTACATGGCTATTCAATGCTATATTTTCTTTCTTACAGCACTCAAAGGCCACTGGACTAGATATAGTATCATGCTTTTTACAAATAAAACTCCATTTAAGGTCGTGTGAACATAAAATTATGTTAAAAACATTTTAACTTTGTATAGTTATGTAAGGAATGTATGTTCAATGTGGAGAGAAATGAAGGGCAGAACAAAAACCACAAGAGAAAAATGCTCACTTGTAACTTTACCATTCAGACATAAATCCCTGTCAATGTTTGGGTTGTATACATTTGTTCTTCCAATCTCCTTGCTGTGTTTATGGATATTTTAAAATTGATGTGTTTTTAATAAAATTGATATACATACTTCTTTGCAACAGTTTTTTCTATTTTTAATAGTTTTTCTATTTAACAATTTTTTACATTTTCCAATGTCTACAAATGTTCTACAAGAAAATTTTATGATTCCATAAATTTTTTAATTAAATGGATATGTTATTTATATAACCATCTGTTGTTTTTAATTTAATCATAAAAATTATTTTCTGTACTCACTGACTACTAGTTTTCCCCCAAATTCTCGTCTATTTTCAAAAATGAACTTAGTATGCAGAATGTGAGGCTAATGAATATCATCTTTAAAAACTACTTTTTGACATATCATTTCTGTATATAGTTTATCTTATTAATTTCATCATAATAGAGATTTTTCTGAAAATTCTCCAATGCTTTTATCTTAATTTTAAATGAGTGAAACATTTCATTTTGTTTTTTTTCTGTCAAAACAACATGTGCACTTCTTATTTTAGATTCGGATGCAGGCTCAAGGAAGCTTGTTCCAGGGGAGCATGATTGGAAGCTTCATTGATATATACCAACAAGAGGGTACCAGGGGTCTGTGGAGGGTGAGTACTCCTGGTATTGTTCTATACTCTTGAGTTCCTAGAATTTGCAAAGAATATTTTTATACAAGCCATAGTAAATTCTAATTCCCAAAACAATGTAAGAAGCTCCTGTGAAAGAGCCAAAAGGTTATCAGTGGTTTTTATTTCTGCTTAATATTGGGAAATTATATTGTGGGAAAAGTTACTACATTATTTGCGATAGCCATTTTGATTTGTACAACTTCATAGTGAATTTAGTTCGCCAGTGTATTTTTGGCCAGTTTTGTGCTAACACAGTAATGTTTGTCTATAGTGATCTATGTAGTGCTTATGTTCATAAGTTATTTAAATAACTTTTTTTTAGTGGTGTTGGGGGTCAAACCCAGAGCTTCACTTAAGCTAGGCAAGCATTCTACTGCTACATTATACCCCTGGCTCAAAACAACTTCTTTAACTTTATGAAAAGTAAGAGCTATACTGGGAAATATTAAAAATATATAGAAAATTTAAAAATAACAACAGTGTACCCAGCTAGAGATAATTACTATTAACGTTTTGTCATATTATGTTCCAGTCTTCAATTTATACTTTTTGTTGTCATTGTTGCTGTACCTTTTTAATTCATCATAATCACAGAGTATAGTAATAGTAAGGCTCCTAGTTGAATATTAAGAGGGACTAGGATGGGAAATTCATTAATATATTTCTGAATAAAAATGAAAGCTTTGTTATTTTTCTTCCTTCGTCATTTTCCACAACTACTTGTTATAAAAAATCTAATCATAAAGCAAAGCTTAGGGCCTGGGGAGATAGCTGAGTAGAATAAGCGCTTGCCTGGCAAGCGCAGGGTCCTGAGTTCAATCCCTGGTAACACACACACAGAAAAGTTTAAAGAATTGAACTATGCGGGCCGGAGAGATGGCTCAGTGGAAAAAGCACTCACCTGGCAAGCGCAAGGGCCTAAGTTCAATCCCCGGTTCTGCAAAAGAAAAAAAAAAAAGAATTGAACTATGAATACTACATACTCATGGCCTAGGTTAAATGACTGGTAAAGCTTGACTTTATGTATGTTTATATATACATATTTATATACATGTATAGATACATATATACACTCATGGTTTGTTAGACTGTAGGAAAGTAAGTTATAGACATATGGCACTCTCCCTAATACTTTTTTATTTAGAACATAAGAACAGAATCAGTGTCCCATATAATAACAATACCAATATCACATGTAAAAAAATTAGCAGTAAATCCTTAATACTTAACATCAGGTTCACATTTAAATTTCCTGGCACCTGCTTAGGCAAGTACAGAGGACGGGGTTTGTTTCCTAGCACCACATGCCGCAGCGGCCCCACCCCTGGGGTGTGCTGAGCTGGCGACTGAATCTGGGTGTGGTGGTGCACCCCTATATCCCAGCACTGGGGAGGCTGAAAACAGGAGGATCACTACAAGTTTGAACTGTGTAGTAGGACCCTGCACACACATAACAAAAAAAAAAAACCTAACAGAAAAATTTCCTGGATTGACAAGACCAAGCGACTTTTCTTATGTATGTTTAACTTGTTCTTCTATCCCCTGTATTTATACCCTGAAAGTTGAGTCCATTTGCTTGATTATATTCACATTCAACTTTTTGGTGGAAAGCTACGTAGCAATACCAGTGACAAAATCTTCAAAAACAGCAATTACATTCAATTATTAGGTATTAGGAAGTACATATATTGTAGATAATACCCCACAGATTACTTGCTGATTGTGAAATTTTTTATGCAATAAGAGCTGATGGATCTCAACCTACTGGGTAATTAAACTCAGCACAACTAATTATGAGGGAACCTAGGACTGTGCACCTTGATGCAGCATGAAATGCATAGGTGCTTTTATGATATGGGCTAATTCCACAATTCAGGTACATATAAAAAGAAGCAAAGTGCATTTTTGACAAAAGATACCCTTTCACCTAATGATCATAACATCCAGGAATGATTCTTAAAGTTTGCTCTTTGATAACAGTGTACTTTGTTGATTAGTCTAATTCAGTGATGGTGAACCTTTTAGAGCTTTCAATGATAACAGCTGCTGTTGGCCACTGATGGCAAAGGATAAAGACAAAGCAATAAATAGAGTTGGAGATTTTGTCAGTGGAGCACAGATGTTTTATTTTTTATTTATTTTAAAATTTTATATATTTATTAATATTTATTTATCTTTGAGACAGGGTCTCACTATGTAGGTCAGGCTGGCCTTGAACTCACTTATGTAGCTCAGGCTGGCCTCAAACTTAGTGATTCTCCCTCATCAGCCTTCCACATGCTGGGATTACAGGTGTGTGGCACCATGCCTGGCTCTTAGTTTTAATTGTGGTAAAGTACACATAAAAACCTACCCTCTTAGCCATTTTAGGTGTGCAGATGAATAGTGTTCAGTACATTCACCTTGTTCTGCAACCACTCTCTGTAACCTTTTATCTTACAAAACTGAAACTCTAGAGTAATTAAATAGTAGCTCCCAGTTTCTTTCTTTCTCCAGGTTCTGGAAATCTTTCTTCTCTCTCTATGTCTCTATGAATTTGACTTGTCTGGATATTTCACCTAAGGGGAATCACATAGTATGTGGCTTCTATGGGATTTCACTTGACAGGATGGCCCCAAGCTTCATCCATGTGGCAGCATGTGTCAGAAAAGGCTGAATAATACTCCATTAAAAGTATATGCCACATGGGGCTGGGGAGATGGCTCAGTAGAATAAGCACCTGCCTGGAAAGCAAAAGGACCTGAGTTCAATCCCCGGTTCCACCAAAAAAAAAAAAAGTGTATACCACATTTTATGTATTTGACTATTGATATCACCTGGGTGACTTCAACCTTTTTGCTGTTGTGAATAATGCTGCTGATATACATAGATGTAGAAATATCTCTTTGAGAACCTGCTCTTCAGCTCTAGACTGGTGCTGTCATATGTTGATGGGGAGCCCAGTGTGACCATATTTTCTGGCCTGTCACAAGAAGCAAGAAACCTGCATTTCTACATGAAATATACTAATTTTTTTTGCATATGACCAATGAAGTGAGTCTTTTAAAAATATTATTTGAGCCATGTAAAACGTGTCTGTAGCCTGAATTGGGTTTGTGGGTCCCAGTTTGGGGCCTTAAAGTTCACCAAATTGGCCTTATAGGAAGGATTACTTCTCCTAACAGAGTAAATCAGGTGGAGGAGTCTGAAAAATAAGTGGTATTTCTCCAGATCAGCAGGAACAAGCATCTCAGCACAGGTGTCTCGTATCTACTCTATAAGTTGATTATAGGAATTTAAATTTAATTTGGAGGTTAAACATTTTATTATAAGAATTATCTGAGAAAGCAGGTATTACCATGCTATGTTACTTTCAATTTTTAAAGTTGATTTTCATTCATTCCCTGTTTTATTGAGAGATAATTGACAAAAATTGTGCACACCTAAGGGGTATAGTGTCCAATTTTAATGATATTTAAACAGTTATAAAACTAAAGCACTCATGAAAATATAAAAAATGCAGAAATGCATAAAAATGAAAATAAAAAAAAATTAAGTCATGTTTATCCTAATCTCAGAAAAAAGTTTTAATATATTTCTTTCCAATCCTTTTTTAAAATTTGGTTCATGTAAATGTATATATACAATAATATATAATTTCATATCTTATGTTTTAGTTACTTTACCTAACTGCTGAGACAAAATTCCCAACACACACAGTTAGAGGAGGAAAGGCTGACTGTAGCTCACAGTCTGTAGAGGTCCCAGTCCCGAGCTGGCTGGCTCCAAGGCAGGGTGGCATGGCAGAGGGGCATCGCAGAGGAGAAACAGCTCAGAGTGGACAGAAGTCAGCGAAGCAGTGAAGTAGCGAAGCGGCAGCAGGTGACAAGAGTAGCCCTCTTTCTGTCCCTGGTGTTCTGTCCAGGCTACATGGCCGTAGGGCAGTAGCATTCAGACCCAAGGTGACCTTCCCATTACTCACACCAAAAACGATGCCAAACCAATTAGTGGATTAATTGCGTAATCGTATACCCTTGATGCCAGCATCACACAGCCCAGCATCGCACAATACCAGCATCACACACTGCAGATCCAGCTACCTCTGAAAATCTCTATCTATAATCACATGAGGCTTTGGAGGGACATATAAGACACAAGCCATAATATCATATCTTTCTTTATACTGGCAGTTAAACTCCAGGGCCTTTGCACTGAGCTACATTCCCAGTCCTTTTTTATTTTATTTTTTTTATTTTAAGACAGGGTCTTACTAAGTCATTAAATTTCTCAGGTTGGGCTTAGACTTGCAATCCTCCTGCCTCAGCCTCCCAGACTGCTGGGACTATAAGTGTGCACCAACATGGCCTAGCTTGTCTTACTATTTTCAATGTTATCTCATAAGAACTTTCTTATATCATTAATGTTCTTCAAAAATGTCTTTCAGCACTCTAGCAACCTTGTGAGCTGTGATGGGAACGTTGAGTGTGCAACGCTGGTAATATTACCGCAAGAGGACTCATAATGGACGCACCACTTTCCTTGGTCCTTCCCAGTTGTTTCACATCTTTGCTCTCTCCCTAGTGTGTGTCCTTTCTGCATGTCCTACAGCTCTGCCAGTGAAACTTGGAAGATTTCTTCTCCCCTCACTGACTTTTGCTTCATGATTTTCCTCTTCATAATAACTTTATTGGGATAATTCACATACATGAACTTCATCATCTTTACACTATACAGTTTTAAGAGTTTTAGTATATTCATAGATTTGTGTTTAATCATTATCATCTTTTTTAATTTAAGTTTTTAGGGGCCGGGGAGATGGCTCAGTAGAATAAGTGCTTGCCTGGCAAGCGCAATGGCCTGAGTTCAATCCCCGGTTCTGCCAAAAAACAATTTAAGTTTTTATGTATTTAGTAAATACAGGCTCTATAGGGTCTCACTACATAGATCGGACTTATAGTGATTCTCCTGTTTTTAGCCTCCTAAGTGCTGGGATTACAGGCACACACGCCATGCCCAGTCTCAGTGGCTGTCTCATCGTGCCCTGGGTGGGGTTAGCACAGCACACCTGGGATCGAACCCCGGCCGCTGCACTCTGCCTAAGAAGGCACTTTTAGTCCGCTGAGCTATTTGCCTGGCCCTAGTATACATTATCTTTAAGTTCAAAATATTTTCATTACCAAAAGGAAACTGACCCTTGAATACTCATTTCCCATTTTCTCCAGTCCTCCTGTCCTAGACAAACACTGTACAACTTTCTGCCTCTATACATTTGCCTATTTTAGGCATTTCATGTAAATGGAGTTATATATTATGGCTTTTATCTAGATGTTCCCTCAAAGTCTCATGTGATTATAGGCAGGGCTTTTCAAAGGTGGCTGGATTGGATCTACTGTGTGCTGCTAGGATCAAGGATGTGCTGCTGGGATTGACTCATGGTGCAAAGCTAGGATTAAGGCTGCCTTACCTGTGTGTGAGTGCTTCCTGTCCTAAGCGTGGGTAGTCTGGATAGGATATAAGGGACAGAAAGAAGATTGCTGCTTATAGCTTGTCGCTTGCTTCTTGCCACTTTGCTTTTTCACTACTTTGCTGCTTTCTGCCCAGCAAGAACTGTTTCTCCATTGTGATGTCTCTCTACTATGTGATTGCCTTGGAGCCAGCCAGCTATGATTTGAAACCTTTACGAACTGGGAACTCAATAGACCTTTTATCCTTTAACTTTGGGGTGTTTGGTCTCAACAATGAGAAAAGTAACTAAGACATGATATATAGTGTTTTGTGACAGGCTTAGTATACTGTTTTTGTTTTTTATTATTTAGGAGTTTTTTTTTTTGTTTTTTTTTTTCCGGAACTGGGGATTGAACTCAGGCCCTTGCACTTGCCAGAGAAGCGTTTATTCCACTGAGCCATCTCCCCAGCCCCATTATTTAGGAGTTTTTGAAGTATGTTCTT